ACGGTCCCTTTACTACTACTGCATTGTAGCCGTTCCTTGGATCTGTCAGAGCCCGTGAGGATCGTGACCGGACCCAACGGTTGTTTGCTGCCGTCGAAGTAGATGTCGTCAGAGAAGCCGTCGTCGGCAGGGTCGTTGGGAACCAACAGTTCATGTTGAAGGTCTACAGTACATGTACATGTTGAGAGAGCAGATGTAGCTAACGAAAGAATATCACTTTACTTTTGCTTTACAAGACCGAATAGACGACATGCATCGAACAACCAAACCAACTGGCAAAATACTCTTGTTACCTATACAGAGTACTACATAAAACTGAATTGTCAATGGCTTTTTGAACTAGTGCATTTATCCTGTCAATGTGGATAGCATTTGAATACGTTATATACCTGTGAATGTGATGCAAAATTGTGTATTTAAAGGATTTGTCACTTGAAATTGGTATCAAATCGATGCCTACGATTGGTGTGGCGTGTGTACGCGATTCGATCCACTGTCAGTCTGTCCGGTACAGCGTACACGAAGTTCTACCTGGAACATTTTTGTTCAATAGTTTAGCGATTCTAAACATGTTAGCCTAAAAAGATGGATACCGCTCCTTACTCTGTCAACGTGCTAATACTTCGAAGTCCATAATCGTTTCATCATAACGTTAAATTTAAAGGAGCTGCTTTGAAATCCATCCTGGTTCGATTGGATAAATCCTATTTTATCAGGTAATGTCTGTTTCCGCACGCCACTCCGTTCTCTATCCTCGATATTTCAAGTTGTAACTTTTAAGTCGTCCTGTCGTTCGGCGCGCTCGAGTGATGGGGGAATTGGTAATTCCCGCAGTCCGAATTGCAAAACAAGCTTCGGATTTGCTAACTACTTGTACGGTACAAGTTGCACCTAATCCTGATAATTCGGAGCAGCAGCAACAGTTGTTTGTAATATTGACACAGAAGGTAAATCAAACAAGAACAAGCCAACATGCACCTAAAGCGCCAAAACACATGAAAACAGTCGATACTTGCTTGGGACGTTGGACTTCGCACGGACGAGCAAAACAATGACTTCCGATCTCAAGTATGCGTCGAAAGAGATCCAGGTTTCAAACACAATCAACAGGTTGTTAATTGGAGGAGACTAAAATCAACCCCCGGTGTATGCATCTAAATAAAAGACATTCCCACAAACATCCAGTCAAAGATTTCCACAAATTGTGGACAAGAAAGTGAACTGATCGGAGGTGCAGCAAGAAGGGTTAAGATCATCTCCAACGGGCAGGGCAATCGACACTTGTTTCGCTAGGAAACATCAACTCACACTCTCTGCTTCTGGCGAACTGTTTTACATATTTCTCGAGTTAAAACTTTGCGGCCAAGGAAGAGGCTGTGGTCTCAAATCTAAATCACTGTAATGAACAAGTTAAAGTAACAATTTTCACCATTCGATATCTGACGAATTATTTGACCGCATGTTACTTTAACCTCAGTAAGCGTTTTTGCTGGAACACACGCTAGGGCAAATCAAATTATACTAATACTTGGTTATTCATAAGAGCACAAAGTCGCCTCGTGCTCGAAGATCTCTGAAAGTTTTCATTATCAATACTTTCACCACCCTTGCTTTCGTTGAGAAGGGTTCCTTAGAAAAGTGCTCCCGAGCCCTTCACCCAGTCAGATCTGTCGACAGTTTTTCTCATTTTCGGGTTCCAAGCGCCCTAGAATCATCTGTTTTTGACACCCCTAGCGAGGGGTCTACAGGTTTTAAACCATAAGTTGATGACCTTGTTACTCTCTCTCAGTTAGTCCCGAGTTCAAACGCTAGGTTTCGCGTCAGAGAATCTGGGTTTGGATATCTTCTTTTTTGTGAAAAATGACGAATGATATTACGGGTGCCGTCAGAATCCTGACAGTATACTTTTGCTTCATTCATTATTGATGACGCATAGTTTGTCCATGTTCCAATGTCATTATTGATGGAGCAACGCTTGTCCATGTTCCAATGTCATTATAAATGACGCATCACTGGTCCATGTTCCAATGTCTTTATGCAGAATGTACAACGTTATTAGTGATGATGCCGCGACGGTCATCATTGATGATCCGCTTGCGCTTTTAAGATATAGTGCGCATATGTGACCAGTTGTGTGTAGTGGTGCCAACTGCTGGCAAACCTGCAACATAACTGAAACTGTTGAGGTATCAGCTCAGATAGTCCACAACTGACATCAACTGACACCAACTTACCTGAACAAAATAGTTGTCCGAAAACCCCCTCAAAATAGATAATTTTGTAATAATATGTTAGAGAAGTTTTAGATTGTTTTGGTTGTTGCAAAGTAGTTGTTGCTAACGAGTTGTCCCAAATGCAGCCGTAATCGGTGGCGCTACTCTCTGGTTCAGTCAATAGCTGTCAGGGGTGCGTTTGCATCATGCTTGTCAGATGCACACTTCGAATAATGGTTTTCTAAAGCAAACTAGATATATTCGTAGCTTTATTCAAGTATGGTTGCTTATTCGTCTAAAAAGAATGCGTACTACATTTAGGCAGAGCGCTGCTCGTAAAACGTGTAGACGCGCTATCTAAGATTATTGATAAGGTGACGTATATTGGGTTACTGATCCCTAGTGTGATCGAACTCTAATATCCATTCCAGACCCGTATGTGTACCGTGCGCAGTTGATCACTATGCGAAAGGCACCTTGGGGAACCTCCCAGCCGTGACGGCGCTTCTACATCACTCAGCAAACCGTTCGTTTATATTCCATCGTAGTTCCTTAAGTCCCGATCTTTTGACTCATCTATCTATGTATTCCATGACTCGATATTCTAGCTCGCCCGCCTTCGTCTCCTGCCCAGACCAAGCGCTCATGACACTGGAACCCTGGTCCATCGCCATATTGGCGATCGCGTTTGCCATTTTGTTTTGCGTCCTGTAATGGTGTATCTAGCTCATGACTTCAGATTGGTCCGCCAACCACCTGGTGATTCTGCACCAGCACTTGTTTGTGGCGTTCGTCGTTAATCAATCCACCCCAGTATCAGGTCGCTATCCCCGACAACATGCACGCCTTTCCTTTGCTTTCCCACCGCCCTAACTAACAATCTGTGTAGCCCTACGAATTCTGCAACGTTGTATGTCATCGTAAGCTTTCCCAATGCTGTCGCAGCCGTCCAAATGGGAGTAAACACATGAGCACGTGGTTTTCGTTTCAGCCAAATACTCCCGCTACCACCTGGCCATGGATTCTCTCAGGACCCCATAGACGCGCTTTCTATGATGCATGCTACTAGGAGCGGGGAACCATCACTATTACTGTTTTAAACAATATATACTTGTTTTAAACAGTTAAAATGTTTTAACTATAAAAGTAATATGTATACTGCCACGCCACCAACAAGGCGTTTTTTTCGCCTTAGGAATATCCACATACACGACTACTCATACGACAAACTATATGTTGCTGTTATTCATTATCTATCTACGTGTAGTTCTAGAATAACAATCGTTCACTATCTATGGTATATCAATAGAACTGTTGCGTACATTGCAGGAAAGACGTTTATGCACTTTTGTGCATGCACTCAACGACTTTCGTGCAAGTGTCTAGATTTGATTTTTTGAACGATGTACTTCAAGAATCAATTTTAACGGTCTATTGCTTCGAGCGCGCGAGCCTAGGAGCATATGCAACATTGCTAAAATACCAAAACTTAGCAGATAAACGTGTAGACGAGGCCGACGTGCTCTCTCTCAGCATCAGTAGCGGCGAGAATACGGGTGGGTGGTGGACATACAGCACTCTGCAGGCTCCGCGTCACAATCTTGATCGAGATCGCCACCCACGATGGCCCTGAAGGAGTCCAAATCTGAACTTGCGTCGGAATCATCCATAAAATCGTAATACGAATCGTTCTCCAAGTCTTTAGCTCGATGCAATTCCGTGCCATTCACGATCAGCTCTTGATCTCCTAGTAGAGCTTGAAACTCAATACGTTGGTCTGAAACCTTGTTACCGTGGTTGATAGAGATAGTGGCTAGCATATGAGCTTTCTTATTGACCAAACTGTTCCGACGAAGTGAGTACACGTTCCCGAGGACACTCCATGATAAAAAAATCATCGCGATATCGTCCTAAATCTGCATAGTATCCTCACTGACAACTGCTTCGTCGGTGTGATGCTGCTCCTCTACATCGCGTCCAGTTTCCTGGTGTGGCGGAGTGGGTTGGCAGAAATTGCTGACTGCCGCTGTCCA